CCGCATCCGCCGCCCCCGCGGCGTCGGCAGCGACAAACAGAGCAGGCAGGAAGGGCTCCAGAGCCCAAATGTTTGCTTTATTTGGCAAAGTCAACACAAGAGCAGCCAAATTAGGGAGGATCTGATAACGTCTCCCTCGGTGAGTGGGTCCTGGATGAGTGTCCCCGAGCTGCCGTGGGCACGGGCGGCTCCCAACCCACGGGCGTGGGACGGTGGGGATGGCGTGGTCACAGGAGCCCCAAAACCACAAGGAAACACCTCTTTGTTTCCATGGATTTCTTCATTACACATTGCTATGAGTAAGTCAATCATAATTATGATTAGTAATGCATGTGTAATGACAAGCTACTACAAAGTTGCTTGCAGAAAAAACAAACATTTAAACGTAGATTTATTTATGGTTAATTAGTTCATGCTTACATGTATATAGATATAGATACAGATGTATAAAATGTGAGATATATTATTCAAATAATTCATCAAACCATTCCCAGGAGTGGGGTCACTTGATGGTGGATGAAATCTCACTTCAAAGCAGGTGGAAGTCGTGGAGCTCCGAGGTGCACAAGGACGTTCAGCTGGGGTAACGCTCAGACAGAAAGGCTCATTTTTGTGTAGAAAATGAATTATTTTTATGTTTTCAGTGTAAGCAGGGGCTGTGAGCAGCTGTCCCTGAGCGGGGCTGTCGGTGAGGTCAGTTTGTCAGAGGTGTCTTTGTTCCCCAGGTAAAGCAGTGTCTTTGTTCTGCAGCTTACAGCAGGGCCTTTGTTGGGCCTTATCTGCGCTGCCCCTGAGCTCCCACCGTGCTTGTCAGGGATGCTCTGGGTTCCTGGGCTGTGTTCCCAGGCTGGCAGGCACCTCCCAGGGCAGCTCTCACAGCTGACATCCTCTGACCGAGGTTTTCTCCGTGGAATCAGGGGGTTCTGGCTGCACCAGGAGCAGGAGGTGCCCTGGGAAGGTGCTGGGGTTGTTGCTGAGGGGGTTCCAGGATCGTGGCGTGGTTGAGGTGGGAAGGGACCACAGGATGTCTGTGTCCAATGCCTGGGGGGGGCGTGGGCAGCTCTGGGGACCCACCAGGGCCCTCCTTGCTGGATCTTGGGGTCTCCAGAGATGGAGGCAGCACGGCCCCGCTGGCACCAGGTCCTGCTGCTTCTCCTCCCGGTGTGTGGAGAGCCTGGTCCAAGCATGGCTTAAAGAAAGAGGCCATGAAGGGATTCAGCTGAGGGAGAGATAGAAGCCTGCTGCAAAGCAGCCTTTCCCAGGCTTGATCCTGTAAATAATTAAGGTTCTCAGCCACCTTTTATATAAACAACAAGATTCTCAGACCGTTTCCTCAAAAACAAGCAATATTCTGTCCTTGGCTGCTCTAGGAACAGATGACCATTCTGAGAACAGATATGAAGGTTTTGAGAACTTCTCATATCATGGTGAGAACACTGATCTTGGTTTCAATAAACAAACTTCAGGTGTTGTAAACAAAAGGAGAAGCTGAAGTTTTCTCTACAGCCTATGGGGAGCTCAGATTTTGCAATATGCATGAAGTGAATTAACACTGTTATAAAAAGTGCCTGGTTGATCAATAAATTGGAGTCAGATGCTGACCAACAAAGGTGGGTCGCTCCCTTCACTTCAACACTGGTGAAAAGCATTTCCTGGTGTCCCTGCTGGCTCTCCCTCGTTCCAGGTGAGGCTGTTGTCTCTCCCATCACTCTCTGTGGGGAAGAGCTTGGGTTCCAGCCCTGGATGAGCTCTCCTCACACCCACCAGGCAC